TGTGACTCCAGTAAACCACAGTGAGAGCCATTATCCACAAATGGAGAAACCTTGGAACAGTGGTGAACCTTCCCAGTAGTGGCCGGACTACCAAAATTTCACGAAGAGCGCACTGACAACTCATCCAGGAAGTCACAAAAGAAAGCAGACGAACATCTAAAGAACTGTAGGCCTCACTTGCCTCAGTTGAGGTCAATGTACAAGGTTCCACAATAATAAAGACACTGGGCATTAATGGCAGAGTTGCAAGGCACAAACCACTACTGACCAAAAAGGCTTGTCTCACATTTGAAAGAAAAAAAAAAAAAACATTTAGATGACCTCCAAGATTTTTGGGACACTATTATGTGGACTGATGAGTCAAAGGTGGAACTTTTTGGAAGACATGGGTCCTGTTACATCTGGTGTAAAGCTAACACCACATTCCACCATAAGAACATCATACCAACAGTAAAACATGGTGGTGGTAATATGATGTTTTTTACTTCTGCAGGAACTGGAGGACTTGTCATAATTGATGGAACCATGAATTCTGCTCTCTATCAGAAAATCCTGACGGAGAATGTCCTCCCATCAGTTTATGGCCTAAAGCTCAAGCACAGTTGGGTTATGCAGCAGGATGATGATCTGAAGTGCACAAACAAGTCCACCTCTGAAAGGCTCATAAGAAACAAAATTAAGGTTTTGGAACATCCGAGTCAAAGTCCTGACCTGAATCCTATTGAGATGCTTTGGCAAGACCTTAAACAGGCAGTTCATACTCAAAAACCCTTAATTTCAGCTGAATTAAAACAATTCTACAAAGATGAGTGGCCCAAAATTCCTCCACAGCAATCTTAAAGACTTAAAACATGTTAGCAAATGTTTGATTGCAGTTGTTACTGCCAAGAGTGGCACAACTAGTTATTAGGTTTAGGGGGGCAATTACTTTTTCACATGGGTGATATAGGTTTTGAATAAATGGAATGATCATTTAAAAGCTGCATTTTGTATTTACTTGTGTTGTTTTTATCTTATATTAAAATTAATTGGATGATCTGAAACATTTAAATGTGACAAATTAGCAAAAATAGAAGCAATAAGGTGAGAGGCAAATACTTTTTCACAGCACTGTATCACCCCCACCCCAGGTATTATTTGAGTGGTAGACCATTTTCAGCAAAGCAGTGACACCGACATGTTTGTGTGTGGTTGGGTCTGGTACGAGTGTGTCACTGCTGAATACTCTGCCAATCAAAAATATCCAGCCAACAGTGATACTGTGGTCAGAAACTGACCACAGATGAGGAGCTAGACAATGACTAGTACAAACTGTGCCTCGAAAAAAAAAACAATATCAGCAAGACAGGACTGTCTAATAAAGTGGCAAGTAAATAACAGAAAGACTAAACAGGAAGAAGCTATATTCTTATTTTTATTTTGCCAGTGATTTTCCCATAATGTCATTCCAGCTAATATATAGGTCTTGAGGCCAGAGTTTGCTGGAGTTCAAACTCTCTGAGGCAGTATAGACTAAACACATGCTCACAGGACCAGTTTATGATGGTTCTCTGAGTATGTCTCTTAATAATAAGGTACTGTAGTTCTTCACACATGCTCAAACATAGCTTTGTGCTTTCAGATCTAGACACGCACATATGCACATCCTTGCACACACTCTGGCAGTCCAGAAGGGTTCTTGTTTCATGCCTGGAGAATTGGCTAGGGATGAAAGACTTTTGCTGCCCAGCCCCAACCAATCACTCCACTCAGTCTCAGTCTCTCGTCTCTCAGTCTCTCTCTCTCTCTCTCTCTCTCTCTCTCTCTCTCTCGTCCACTTTTAAGCTGTTCAGCATGGACGTTTGAAGATTACAGCCGAGCCTCTGAAAGCAGGACTGAGTGAAGGAGGACAATCCTCTGATTGTGCATGTTCACTATGAGAGTGGCTTTAGCCATGTGGGAGATACTCAGACTGTGCACTAGAGAGTAAGAGAGTGTAGGTTTACCTTGTGGGCCACCATACTGTGCACCATAGAGTGTCTGAGTTGAATACAGAGACCTTGGCTGACCTGAACAGGAAATACATTCTGTGCTGTCAGAATATTGCCAAGGATAACTATAATATGTTGTAATATGTTTTAACATGAGTTTTTTTTTGTTTTGGTTTTCCTCTCTATTAATTGTGTCGTTGGCAGGGTGGAAAATACTTTGTTAATTGTTCTTCATTACTGTAATTAAGTACTATTAAGTACTGTGGCTTCTGCCGCAGGCTCCGTAGGCCGTGAGGAACTAAGGGGTGTGGCCATGCAAAGCGGCTCTCGGAGCATGCCGTGCTCCCGGTCAAAACAGTCAGTTTGTTGTGACTGCAGTTGTTCTAACTGTGTGGAGGATGGGTTGGTGTTATTGTGGTCAATTTTGAGATCATGATTATTTAAAGCAATTACTAACTGACTTTGAAAACATCATGCATTTACTGAACTTAAAAAAAAAACTTGTCTTTTTAACAGTGGATTTCCTTAAACTGTAAATAGAATCCAACTGAAAAACAAATAAAAAAATAAAGGAAAGGGGTGCGTTGGATTGATAACACATGACAAAATGAGAACATCATTGTGAAACAGAATGCGGCACAACAATTGTTTTATCTTGATTACCTTGTTTTCATAATTGTTGGAAACCAAAATTGTTATTGAAAATAAAATTCGATTAAACACCCAGCCCAGTCACGCGTGTTTTCCACATTTTTTTCTATGCTAACGCTACAGTACTATGTATTTAAGTAAATAGTACATAATACTATGTGTTTAAGTACATAGTACTTCAGGCTATTAAATACATAGGCTAGTTAGAGCTGGGCGATATGGCCAAAAACGTTATCACGATAATCAAAATTCGTATCGTTCGATATCGATACATATCGCGATAAATGTCAAATCATGATTTCTTTCACGTTTGAAGGCTGATTTTGCTCCTGGGTGGTTAACTGTGGTTTTAAACTATCACTTATGGTCCGATCATGACAAACACTCGGCAAACAGTGGAACATTTCACTAATCTGTCATGGAAGAGTGGGAGAAAGTTTCTGAGCTGTTTTTATCAGCTTGAAATGCACAGCTGCAATTTTTGTAATAGTCATGATTAAAGAAAGAAAACGGATTATTTTTAGCTGTCTGCTGACGAGCGCTCGGCTACCCCGTTACAAATGACAAGTGGCCAACAACAGAGCTAAACTCTTCAGTTTCTCAACGTCGACTCGGTTCGGTAGGTCACTGCTGTCACTTCTACCACATCCATGTCAGAGCATATCACAGTATTCAGACACCAGCTAGCGACGACTGGGTTTCTCTACGCTATCGTAGTAGTTTAAGGGGTGAACCGCAGTATATCTGACGTTTGCTGTGTAAAAGCATTATCTGCAGTGTGAATCTCTCACACCAGTCACAGAGTCCTGCTTTTAGGCATGTTTAAACTGAAAGCGGTGATTTTGTGTCTTGTTTGATCTACCTTATCATCAATTCACCGTGTTTTGGAGTGACAGAGCGCTGCTTCAAGTTAGCCAGCAGCTAAAAACAGCTAGCCCTGGAAAGATAGCGCTCTCCCACTCTCCAATGCCTCACAGCTTCCTCAGTTTACTTTAGAACATGAACCCACTTCTTTCTTTCACTTTCGTTGCTCGAGAATGCACTAATACTAAAATATGACGGTTTGGCGCTGTAACACGGCGCTGTAGACGTGGTTTAACACCGCTAAAGTTGTTAGGATGCATGGAAAGAGGTGAGTTCACTGTAGGACAATACAGTTACACCACTGACCTCGTCACTCACACTCGGTCACAGGAGAACAGATCGCCGATAACATCCACTCAGACAGGGAATGTATAACTCCGCGTTTCAGCCGTTGCTAAACTATATTTGGCGACCCTTTTTTTACTCGTGCCCCCCCCCTCTCTAATCAAGTCGAAAAATACGGAAGTGCGCCCTCTCCTGGCGACAGCGGAGTAGTGTCGCTTTCCTTGCCGTAGAAAGCGCCACCAGGGCTTTCGCTAAAACGTGGAAGTGTGAGAATGGTGTATTATATCGAACATTTATCGAACCTGTCTTATCGCTCTATCGAGGAAAAGTTATATCGCGATACTTATCGTTATCGTTTTATCGCCCAGCCCTAAGGCTAGTATTTAAAATTCTGGCCACTCTAGACCATGCTCTGTGTATTCTGTCTGATGGTCTGTTAACTGGGAAACCAGCAATAATAATTTGCCACATTTCCTTTTTTACATGTACATGCTTATGTTTAATGATGTAGGCTCAGAGCCTTTTTTCCCTCTTGACAATTAGTTTTCAGTGCATTTAAATATTAAAATATTCAAACAAGTTCATATTATTATAAAATAAAACAGCCCATAATGGTAATTTATCTTTGTGCAATGACTACTACCACTCTTTAGTTTAACCACCACACATCACCAAATAAAAAAACTATGATTAAAAACAAAAAAACACAAAAAAAACTAACAATATGACCAGCGCAACACACACTAACACACCACCACCACGTCAGTGTTACTGCAGTGCTTAGCATGATCCACCACCCAAATAGTACCTGCTCTGTGAGGGTCCATGGGGGTCCTGACCACTGAAGAACAGAGTAACAGACTACAGTCTGTAATTGTATAACTACAAAGTGCACCTATATAGTAAGTGGAGCTGATAAAATGGACAATGAGTGTAGAAACAAGGAGGTGGTCATAATGTTATGCCTGATCGGTGTGTGTGTATATATATATATATATATATATATATATATATATATATATGTCAGACTGGAACTACCCAAGGTTTCAGAACTATATATATATAGATGTATATATATAGATGTTAATACAATATGTTCATTGATCTATCTTGAGTTTATAGACCTTAAATCAGTCATTATTGGCAAAATGTCAGTCAGCAACATTCTATATTGCTCTCCTTGAATAGGTCATTGAATAAATCTTCATCTTTTTTGCGTGCATCTTGCAGAGATGGAGATGAAGTCATGTCCCAGTATAGTCCCAGGGTGGTGACCTATGCACTTGGTGACAGTGGTGGAAAAGGAAGTCCAGGCAGCCAGTGTGAAGCTGCAATACCACCTAGCAGGCCTGCGTCCAGTTCCAGCCACAGTGAAAGCAGGTCAGTGACACACAAGCACGATAGACCAAGACCAGAAAAAGAAATAGAACGTAGCCTAATGTATGTATGTGTACTGATTAAGGAATTATTGAATTTAGGCTTTGGAATAATGCGCTGATATGTCTTATTTCTTTCTCAGATCAAGCTCAAGACTCTCTTCTCGCTCCAGCTGTGAAGATGAAATTGAGGCTTTGAGGCACAAATTAAACGTCACCCACATAGATGAGGTTGTGTCACATCTCAAGTGAGTAGCACAATCATCCTATATATATATATATATATATATATATATATATATGTATACAAGTGAAAGATACACTTGAATTACTGTGATGTTTATAATACTGTTGTACAACCCCATTTCCTAAAAAAATTGGGATGCTGTGCAGAGTGGAAATAAAAATAGAATGCAATGCAGTGCAAATCATGTAAACCATATTTTTAAAGGAAAGTACTACAAAGACAACATCTCAGATGTTGAAACTGAGAAATTTTATTGTTTTTTTGAAAAATATATGCCCATTTTGAATTTGATGCCAATAACACATTCCAAAAAAGTTGGGATGGGTGCATGTTTACCACTGTGTTTCATCACCTCTTCTTTTAACACTCTGTAAGCGTTTGGGAACTGAGGAGACCAACTGCTGTAGTTTTGAAAGTGATATGTTTTCCCGTTCTTGTTTGATATAGGATTTCAGCTGCTCAACAGTTCTGGGGCTCATTTGTCGTATTTTTCATTTCATAATGCGCCAAATGTTATCAGTGGGTGACAGGTCTGGACTGCAGGCAGGCCAGTGTAGCAGACGGACTCTTTTAATATGGAGCAATGCTGTTGTAATACATGCAGAATGTGGTTTGGCATTATCTTGCTTAAATAATCAAGGCCTTCCCTGAAAAAGACGTCATCTGGATGGCACATATGCTGCCAAAACCTGTATATATCTTCTTTGCGTTTTAGAGTTTTAACTTGCATTTGTGGATGCAGCGATGAACCGTGTTCAAAGACAGTGTTTTTCAGAAGTGTTCCTGAGCCCATGCAGTGATTTCCACTACAGAATCATGTCCGTTTTTAATGCAGTGCTGCCTGAGAGCCCAAAGATCATGGCCAGCCAGTACTGGTTTTTGACCCTGTCCCTTGCATACAGAGATTTCTCCAGATTCACTGAATCTTTTAATGATATGTACTGTAGATGATGAAAAGCAAAAGTTCTTTGCTATTTTACATTCAGGAACATTGTTCTTGAATTGTTGCACTATTTGCCAGTGCAGTCTTTGTACTTTTGTCCTTTTTTTATTGGTAATGGTCATACAGTGGCAGGAACCATGTCAATTTCAGATGGCATAATAACTCAATGTGGCTTGAGACAAGTGTGATGATTCTGTTTGAATTATGCTGACTGGGGAGGTATATTCATCCATTACTGGTTAGTTGCAATAGCCTGATAGTTCCAGTGCAAAACTTCACACACCGAATATTTCTTGGCTGATCACCTTCATTTGGATTAAGATGATAATTCTATAGATTTTATTTTTCCTGTTAACCTCATTTTTAGCCATACAGTGATATATACATTAAATGTCAAGAAGTTTGTGGACACCTGCTCATCCAATGTTTCTACTGAAATCAAGGGTATTAATAGGGAGTTTTTTTCCCCTTTGCTGCACTAGATGTTTGATTGCATTGGATTGGAGGGTTTGATTGCATTCAGCCACAAGAGCATTAGGTGACGTCAGGTGCTGCTGTTGAATGATTAGTTCTAGATCACATATGACACTCCAAGTCATCCCAAAGGTACTTTTTGGATCTCCATCACTCCACATCGCTCCACAGACCAGCGATGTGTGCACCTTAAAATAGTTGTATTCACTAATTATAAGGGTTGTCTGGAAACGTTTGGACATATAGTTTGTCTCTAATATTGCGTGTTTCTGAAAAACTTTAAGGCAATTTTTTAAACTATTTTTATAAACTCATAGATCAGCTTGTATGACGTTAAAGTCTCCTGCTATTTCACCCTTTGTGGGGTGCTTTTGATCTGATGAGGTGAACGTCTTGGAATGCATGTTCCTCTGCCAAGATCTATCCTGCCCCCCACCTGGCACAGTCTCTGTGGACACAGAGCAGACACTCGTCTTTCTGGGCAGACATGCTATGTAAAGAGGAAGAATAGCATTTAGCCAAACACTCTTGTGCTGCAACCTTCCTTCTGTCTATCTCTCTCAGGACTCTTCATAAAAGCCTACATTACCAAAAAAGATCTAAAATAACACTAAAAGAAACTGGAAGATTTCTATAGTGCTGCATAATACTTTTAGAATAATTCCTAATACTTTCTTCTCTATATAATGTTCCTGGTACCTTGTTTTAGTAATACATAATACTTGGGTATTATCCGATAGTAAATTATAGTAATTGATTGCTTTTTTTTCTAATTTCCTCTGTAATTTCCAACATACATCTTTTTCATTAGTATACCAGCATTCTTTTTCTAGGCCATCATGACTGCTTAACCAACTGTTAACCAGTTCAAGTTATCTTCAAGTTGTCTTAGTTGTAGTCTGAAACTAAAGTTTTAAGAGCAAATATGAAATCACTGGTAAAAATCTGACCAAAGCAGCATACATAGTTCATTCCAAAGGTCTTATATAATGCACAAAAAACGTGTTTTTTTCAGCTTGTTCTGGCTATGGTGAATATGCATATCTCCACAATGAGGGAGGATTTTATTGAAGGTCTGGATTTTCCCTGTAAACAGACACCATGTTGAGTGTTGCAAGTTTTCTTAATTGGTTTCTAACCTGTAAACTTTCTTCTCCTTTATAATGTCTCTGATTATGACTACTGATGTTTCAGAATTTCATCCTGTCCTGTAATTTGCTCAAGCCACTCTCCTCTGAGCAGAGCTGTGCTGTGAGCTACACTGTATGAAGTATTCTATCTGATGGTAAGATGTGTAAACTAACATTAATCAGCTTTAATCAAACCTTAATCAGCATTAATCAAACATAATCAGCTATAATCATTTCTCATATTATGAAATTTGTTTTTACAGCTTAGTACATGCTCACGTTTACTGATGTAGACTAGATTCCATGGGAGGCCAATTATCCCATGTCAAGTGCAATAAGTTTGTGCTAAAGCTAAGTAAGCTAACCTGAAGATTTTTCATTTACACTTTGCAGTTTGTTTAGCTTCTTATCATTACGCTCTGTAGTGTGGCTAAATTAGTAACAGCTTCATCCTTGCAGCACAAAATTTTATTGCGGATGTGCCCTAATGCACTTAGCCTAGGCTTTGGCTCACTTATGCTAGGTAGCTAACTACTTACCGCAGTTTCACAGATGAATAAAATTATAAGTTGTTCGTTTAAAATTATGCATTTTCTTTGACTGAATTAAAAAGTGAAAGGAATTATTTGAGGTTGTTATTTTAATGGCATGGACACAATATATGCATAGTATGCTATATCTGAGGAACGTTATTAACCCCTCTGTTATTTCATTCTACAACCCCAATTCCAAAAAAGTGGGGACACTGTGTAAAATGTAAATACATGTAAATAAAAACAGAATGCAATGATTTGCAAATCTCATAGACCCATATTTTATTCACAATAGAACATAGAACACATGTTGAAAGTGAGACATTTTACCATTTCATGAAAAATATTAACTTGATGGCAGCAACACAGCTCAAAACTCAAAAAAGTTGGGACAAGGCCATGTCTACCATTGTGTAGCACCACCTCTTCTTTTAACAACAGTCTGTAAACAACTGGGAAGTGAGGAGACTAATTGCTGGAGTTTTGGGAAAGGAATGTTGTCCCATTCTCATCTGATGGAGGATTCTAGCTGCTCAACAGTGCTGGGTCTTCTTTGCTAGATTTTTCATTTCATGATGCACCAAATGTTGGCAGGCCAGTTCAACACCCAGACTCTTCTTCTGCAAAGTCACGCTGTTGTGATGGATGCAGTATGTGGTTTAACATTTGTCTTGCTGACATTTGCAAGGCCTTCCCTGAAAGAGACGTTGTCTGGAATGGAGCATATGTTGTTCTAAAGCCTCTATATACTGTTCAGCATTGATAGAGCCTTTCCAGATGTGTAAGCTGCCCATGCCATGCAACCCCATACCATCAGAGATGCATGCTTTTGAACTGTGTGCTGATAAAAGGCTGGATGGTCCCTCTCTTCTTGAGTCCGCAGGACACGGCGTCTGTGGTTTCCAAAAAGAATTTCAAATTTTGATTATCTGATGACAGAACAGTTTTCCATTTTGCCTCAGTCCATTTTAAATGAGCTTTGGCCAGATAAGACAGCGGCGTTTCTGGATCGTGTTGACATATGGCTTCTTCTTTGCATGATACAGCTTTAACTTGCATTAGTGGATTCCACAGTGAACTGTGTTCACAGACAGTGATTTCTGGAAGTGTTCCTGAGCCCATGCAGTGATTTCCACTACAGAATCATGCCTGTTTTTAATGCAGTGCCGCCTGAGGGCCCGAAGCATCCAATACTGACCGTCTGCCTTGTCCCTTGCATACAGAGATTTCTCCAGATTCTCTGAATCTTGTGATTATATTGTGTACTGTAGATGGTAGGATGCCCAAAGTCTTTGCAATTTTACGCTGAGGAACATTGTTCCAAAATTGTTCCAAATTGAAATTTTAGAGAGACTCCGCCTCTCTAAAATGCTGTTTTGATACCCAGTCATGTGAGTTAGTTGCAAATTGCTCCTCCAGCTGTTTTTTCTTAGTACCACTTACTTTTCTGGCCTTTTGTTGCCCCTGTCCCAACTTTTTTGAGATGCGTTGCTGCCAGCAAGTTCTAAATGAGTTAATGTTTTTCATGAAATGGTAAAACATCTCAATTTCAACATCTGATTTGTGTCCTGTGTTCTATTGTGAATAAAATATGTATGTGAGATTTGCAAATCATTGCATCCTGTTTTTAGTTACAGTTATTTACATTTTAGACAGCGTCCCAACTTTTTTGGAATTGGGGTTGTAATTGGTTGCCAACTGTAGAGGTGGTGTTGACTGCTTGAGCAAGGACAAAAAGAATGAACTAAGACACAAAATGTTTTTGTTTCTAATCTTGTCTATGCTTAATCTTACCAAATTGTATCATGCACATTTCATTGCGCCTAGGGCTAACCTTAAAACATGTCTCTCTTCTTATTACGTAGTGCCATCTCTAAATACTGTAACCTTGCTTGTTTTTAAGTGAAAAATAAGTTTTTTATCATGATTTCAGTCACATCTTATTCTTACTCTGGTTAATTGTTTAAGACTTCAAAAACGAACATTTTACAGTAATTTGTTTCAGCTTTTTAGACTATTTTTACTGTTGCTAAACATTTGAAGAGTTTATATAATATTAATCTACACATTATTAAATATTTCTCCACAAGGGGGCACTATTCATTCTCTACTAGGTTTTGTATGCCTCATTAAAAGAGGGAAAACTAATATGATGCCCACACCAGCGGAATCTGACGAAGGAATGTATGCTTGCAATCACAGACTGCATGTATATGAAGTAAAATGTCCACAACTAAACTAAACATGTCCCTACATACGAATGTTATTTTATTTAACTTGGTAATGGCTAACAGCCTCCTATAATAAAAATATGCACAGTTATGTTGAAGAACTGTGAAACTGCTAAGTTCGTTCAAACAACATATTCTTTATCTTTATCATTATCTTTTATAGGCCTCAGCTGTTTTTGCTGAGCTGCCATTGGTATCTTAGAACTGACGTAAAGTGGAAATTAGCATTTGGCCTGAGATCATGCGCACAATTTCTGCAATCATTGGTCATGCTAAATAAGGGGAATGGGGACACTCAGTTTTATACACTGAGTGCAAATGCTGCAGAATCAATGTGGTACTTAATTCAAATTCCACGGAGAACTTGACATTTTAATGGCTAAGTATGCAGGCCTATAGCATAGTGTGGTCTTTTTCTTGTGAGATGCTTAGCCCTCTCCTGCTCTTCTGCATTCAGTCATCAATGCACTCCTCCACACCGCCCTTTTTCTGCTTCTCTCTCTCTCTGTCTCTCTCTCTCTCTCTCTCTCCCCCTCCCTTCCTCCCTCCCTCACTCTCTCACTTCGTGTGCATGTCTCTCTGTCTCTGTCTTTTTTTTCTCCTTCTAGGGATGCTGGGTGCTGGGGCAGAACATCGGGGGGAGTTAGAGACCCAGAATGACTGGGCCAGTTCAATCCATCCTTACACCAAAACAGAAACCCCCATTGTGAGCAAATGAATAGCAGACCCTGGCATATGTAAAATTCCTTTACCCTCAAAAAGCGATTTAGGAGACTACATTGGTTATGTAACAGAGACGAAGTAGGCCAGAACATTTACAATGGAGTGGCCAGGTTGGCCACGGTCATTTTTTGTGGTGGCAAGCGTGTTGGTAAAACACAAAATTTGTTACCGTACAGTTTTGCGAATATGCCAGTCTTTTTCAACCTAATCTCTGTCTGACACATCTGCAGTGGTTGATGGTCAAGGACAATGTTTCTGTGTGCTTAGATAAGAACAGAAAAGGTATTTGACTCTGAACACTAAACTAAACAATTTAGCTAACATTAACTTTGTTGACAATGTTTAATGTATTTAACTAATTTAACTTTGCTAACAATATTTCTATAAAAAGTCTGAAGCTCCAATTAGTTCAGCAACACTATATTCTAATAACATATTCTAAGAACTAATAAAATGCAAGTTAGCAGCTAAACAGAATTAGCCACTATGGACAGTTTCTACTAGCCACTGGACAATTTCAGTAGTTGGATCTGTTGTAGCAGCACATGGCATTTATGTATACTTTTATAGAATGCTGTCATCAGACTGATAGAGTGTTGTCATTTCTGATTGGTAACCTAGCTTCCTGATATCCAGTGTGTGGCCAATGCCATCCTTTTGGCAGCCCCAGTTGGGCACAGCAAGGCAGTCATCAGTGAAGCAGTGCAATCAGGAAAAAAGTAGTCTTCCTACATATTGTAAATGATTAGACTACATCTTACAATTAATGTAAGAAAATTCAACAAATCTGTGTAATAGCCATTACAGTGTGAGGAACAAAGTTATGACACTTCAGGTGGACCGAGTCTTACGAAACAAACAGAGCAAATATAAAAAGCCTCACTGATGAAACCACAAGCTGTTGGTCACACATTTCTCTAGTCGGCTTAAAGCTGCAGCCATACTCTGTCACGCTCTGTCTACAAGCAAGTCGGCCAGCAGGCCAAATGATAAACAAACTTCCAAAAAGCAAACATTATGTTCTGATCCTTAGTGCTGCAGATGGAGATAAATAATTTCGCTTGCCCTTGAGAAAGATTTAAGTGTTATTTACCAACATGTGCCTAAGATGGAGCTTACCTGGTTGTGACTGGCTGTTGATCTTCAAAACAAGACCACCCCCACCCCCCCAAAAAAGGCTTTATAGTGCGACTTGGTGGCTTTGTAGGAAAAACCTTGACTAATGTGCAAGAGGGTACTGGTTCAAATATGGCCTGAGTCACTGCCTTGGTTGTGATGTAATGGTAGCTGGGAGATGGAAACTGAAGTTGGGGTGATCATTTTTAAAATTTAGGGCTATTTAAAAACGAAGTCAAACCCTATGTTTACAGCTGCAAACCCCTTCTACTCATCTTTCTGGAGACCTCGAGGGGGTCAGACCAGGCTATCCTGAGTATTGTCCTCCTACCTCCCTTGCATGACATATCTATGACATCGAGTGCCTGATCAGTTTATTTAAAATATTTGGTCTTTTGTATCCATAGCTGGACCACAAACCTCCTGAATTCAAAAGCTTGGCTTTTACCATTGAGCCACGTTACATTTTACTGCCCAAATTGACCAACTAGTCAACACATCGTTTTTAGCTCTAACCAATTTGGAATTGAGAATTTCACTTAAGTGCCAATTAATGATACAGATGCCAAATAACACCAGGGACGGTGCAGATGCTGGACAATTTCAGTAGTTGGATCTGTTAAAGCAGCATATGGCAATTATGTATATTATCTGCATGTTTAAGAAATCAAGCCATAAACCATTTAGTTTAGAATACACTAAGGCATTTTTTTACAAAACTGACAGAGATAGGAGATATAAATAAATTTGGCTCTGAATATTAGAAAATAGTAGCTCTGTCTTCTTTGTGTACAATTTGAGGCTAATTCACCTGGTCATGTAAAATCTGTGCTAGGCATCCATCCATAACATTAACATTAAGGATCAGTTTCTGACAACAGAGCCAGCTGAATGAGTGTTTTTTTTTTTTTGAGAGGCAGACCACTCTCAACCCAGCAGTGGCACTGACTGACATTATGTAAAAACCCTAACAATGCTGTTACTATGCCACTTCCACTTGGTGAAAGTGTTCTGCTGTTCAGTGCTGACTTATCTGCCATTCTAAATGTTTACGGTTCCCGCATCTCCTTGGTCATAATACATTGTGCATACTGTATTGCCAATCCATATGTAAAAGTGATATTGTGTACAATTTATTTAATTCTAAGCTGTTGTTAATGATTTTGTATTGACTCGTGGCTCAATTCATAACTGCTTTCCTATTGATTGACAGATCATGTCTTACTGAAGAGTGTGAGGCGTTGAAAAAGGACGTTCAATTCCTGCAGGTAGGGAACCCCTTTATTGTCTTTTTATCAGGGGACCAATGCCAGCATGATGGCTGTGACATTTGGCCTCAAATGTGGAAAATGCTCCAGTGATACAATTTGCATTTTTAATCATGAGACCTTTCTGAGAATGAAGGTCTCTCTGGTTGAGAGACACATGCTCAGAGACCTGAGCAGGTAAACTGTAGAGCTTTATTTAGTCATACTCCAAATAAATAAAGCAGGCTAACTTAAATCTCCAGCCCAACTCTTCTCACCTCAGTTTCTGGAGAGTTTCTTTTTAAAGAGTCCTTTCTCCTCCCATGATAATGGACACCTGTTACCTGTCCCCTTAACTAAGAGAGGAGCACATAACATGACTTGTGGCAGGTGAAGGAACCCCCCTCTTAAGAACGGCATCCATTTACTGTAATACTGCCTGTACAGGATGATGATGCATAAACCTACATACAGTAAGGGGGAAAAAATCAAAGCCACAGGCAATTCTGTTAACCAAAACAAAATCTTGCAAACATCTTTTGGGGCAAGATGTCCCTCTATCCAGGGTAAGAAGCCCCCCTGGCAAATTTTCCATCAGTTTGTCAGTAAGTTTTACAGGATTTATACTTTATATGTCAAGCCTTTCTAATCATTTGTCAAAAATCTTTTTATTATTCAAAGTATGAAGTACACTTAAAAGTGTAAATCTAGCTAATGATCACCGTAGCTAACGTAATGTTAGCTAGCCATCATCTCAATTACAATTAACAGCTGGGTAATGAAAATGTATCTTCATTATACAGCACTTTTCATGCTGGTGGCAGCTCAAAGTACTTTACAGACAGGTGACAAAGCTTAACAGTAATACAACAAATGAGAAATGATGAGTGTTAATTTAATATCATATGAGAAAATGACACATCAAATTAAAATGATAAATACTGAGAGATATGTTTTTGGATGTTTCTTAAAAGTGTGTGCTGAGCTTGACTGTCTAATAAAAGGTGGAACTATGGTGGAGTTATATTAAGTGAAAGAGGCCTCTCCATGCTTTCTGTTTTATGGAAGGTGTTTGCAGAAGGCCAGTATCTGTAGATTTAAGATCACATGCTGGAACATAAACAGCGAGACATTCTGTGATGTAAGAAGGGGCTTTAAAGTCATTTTGAGCTTTAAAAACTGTCCTGAAAGATAAAACGGGAGTAATCTCTTTTTTTTGTCTTTGTTAGAATCCGTGCTGATGCATTTTGTTCGAGTTGTACAGGATGTATAGTTTTCTTAGGAAGTCCAGTAAGAAGAGCATTACAGTCATCAACTCTGATTGTATCAAATGCATTAACAAGTTTCTCTGCGTCGCTCAGAGACAGAAAAGGCCGAACTTATTTCGATATTTCTCAAATGATAAAAGGCTACTTTAGTGACTGCGTTTACATACGAAGTACAACAGAGCTCGGAGTCTAAGATTACACCTAGGTTTCGTACTTCATCTTAGATATGTCTCAGTCTTAAGCCCTGTTCAGACGGAATTAGTTATACATGTGGAGGTGCAGTAATGTAATTATTTAATATAATACGTGATTGTGATGTGTAATGTGTGATTTTAATCCCGTGCAAATCAACATGTCAGTAAAAACGCTATCACGTCCTGTGGAAAGGCAGTGTGGAGACACTCAAACAAGCGCTCACTTGTGTTTTCCGGCGAAGCCGTCGTCAGCTTCCGTAAAATTACAAGTTTTTACATCTTTTCTACTTTTTTCTGGAGTGAAGGAGGCCCGTAAATCGAGTAGCCGCCCCTATCTCTGTCATTTGCACTGAGATTTCGTATCCCGTGCAGATCGCTCATAAACATTACAGACGTTCTGAGTTAAACTGGCATTACCTACCTGCCCATGGAAAACTAAGCATTTCCGAATAGGGCGTTAGATGTGACTCACTTAAGACTTTGGTAATTCCTTTTTGCCAACATAGTTTTAATGCATGCAAGCACAGGCTAGCAGAGAGAAACACTGTATTCTCGTTTGAACACATGCATGCTAGCTTGCTTTTAAATTAGTTCATTTTGCACGTTTGACTCTGTTTGACTGTGTTAGCCAAGACAACGTGACTCATAGTCTTGGAACAAACTCCGTCTCTCTGTTCTGGCACAGCACTGAACACAGAACCAGATGTGGAACCTCTTTGTGCCAAGCAGATGGGGAAGCAATCTATCCTTGTCAAACTCAAACATGCATACACACATGTACACCAACATAGTGTTTGCAGTGCCTACATTCTGGAATTGAAATAAGTAGAAATAGCAGCTTTTTATGAGGTGCACTGTCCTCGCTGGTCATGAGTTATTTCTGGGGAGATTAGATGTAAGATAATCCAGTTGCAAAAGATAAGTGAGAACTGAGCGGCAGTTTCCAAAACTGGAGCTCAAGATATGTCATGCAAGGGAGGTAGGAGGGCAATACTCAGGATAGCCTGGTCTGACCCCCTCGAGGTCTCCAGAAAGATGAGTAGAAGGGGTTTGCAGCTGTTAACATAGGGTTTGACTTCGTTTTTAAATAGCCCTAAATTTTAAAAATGATCACCCCAACTTCAGTTTCCATCTCCCAGCTACCATTACATCACAACCAAGGCAGTGACTCAGGCCATATTTGAACCAGTACCCATATTTGAACCAGTAACCTTGACTAATGTGCAAGTATCTTGCACATTAGTCAAGGTTTTTCCTACAAAGCCACCAAGTCGCACTATAAAGCCTTTTTTGGGGGGGTGGGGGTGGTCTTGTTTTATTTATAACTCAGTGCTCTGAGACTGAATGGATGTGTAGATATCAGGAAGCTCTTGTTGACAAAAAGGGAGCAGGGGAAAAAAAGAAAAAAAATTCCAGTAGCACACAAAGCTGGACATCTGAAAGGTGAAGTATGGTTTAATAGACTGATGAGTTTAAATTTGGAATTGGGATTATTTGGATAAAGATAAGTGGAAAATGCAACCAGCCAACTTTGGAGGTGTGGAAAAAAAATCCCAGCAGATTCCTTTGATAATCTGAAAGCAAGTTTCACAAAAAGCTACAATGAAGTCATAGAGTGGGCTCACTAAATACTGAAAATATATTTACTTGTTGAGGCTTTTGTGTAATTTTCTGTTACATACACATCAATGAGCCAAAACATGACCACTCACATATGAAGTGAATAAGTTTGAGTATCTCATAACAATGGCACATGTCTGGGATATTTTAGCTGGTAAGTGAACAGTGAGTTCTCATAGTTGATGTGTTGGATGTAGGACAAATGGGAAGGCATGGAGATCTGAATGACTTAAGTGGCAAGTTCTTATAGCCAGACGTCTGGATTGGAGATCCTCTGAAATGAGGCTTGTCAGGTGCTCCTGGTCAGCAGTGGTGAGTACCTACTGACAGTGGTCCGAGGAGGGGCAAACCATGAACTGGCGCCAGGCTCACGTCATGTGGACAGTTTGGTACACATGCGCCATTTACCTGGGGAATTGATAGCACCAGGATGCACTGTGGGAAGAAGAAAAATCGGTGGAGGGAGTGTGAAGCTCTGAGCAATGTTCTCCTGGACATTCATGCAGATGATAACATCGCTGCAGACCAGGTACACCCCTTCATGGCAGCGGTATTTGCAGATGGCGGTGGCCTCTTTCAGCAGGATAACGCGCCCTGCCACACTACGTACGAGGTTCAGGAATGGTTTGACGAACATGACAGAGAGTTCAAAGTGTTGCCGTGGCTTCCAAATTCAGATCTCGGTCTGATCGAGCATCTGTGGGATATGCTGGAACAACAAGTCAGATCCGCAGTGGCTCTAGCTCACAACTTACAGGACTTAAAGGATCTGCTATAATGATTTATGGCCAGATATCACAGGGCACCTTCAGAGATCTTGTACAGTTTAATCCTCGGTGGGTCAGAGCTGGAGGACCAACAGCATATTAGGCATGGTCATAATGTTTTGGCTCATTGGTGTATGTTTTCTGCTACTAAAAATGAATAACTTGTACTTGATGGCTGTTTTCACTTGATGAAAATTAAATAAATGAAGGAGTGGTTTCTGAATTTTGCACAGTATGTATACACCAGCAACTCTTTACATTGTGTGAACATTTCATGATGAATGATGCCATAGAAATGGCTAAAAAATTACTTGCACGAAAGTAAAGAACATTTTTCCTATTATATAAATGCACAAACACACATTCGTTAACAAGAAAAATTTATTTTAAGAACATGCAAAGGGAGAAGAGAGACAGAAGGAGGTAGAGCGGGAGAGAGACTGCAAGAGAGAAAGAGAAGTGCTTGGTTTTTCTAGGTATCCCACTCTCTTTCTGTCCTCTTGGGTTTCAGTGCTCCACCACAGAGCTGTGGGCTGGGCACTGGGGATTGTGTTTCAGCAGACTGCCGTGGTTACCGCCGCTCCCCCCTGACCACACGTCTGCCACAAGTGCTCTCCTCACGCGGCCATTTACTTCACTCACACAGAGGGAGAGATATTAGCACACACTTAACAAACACAGTAACAGTCCAGGACAGAGCTGAGATGAAGAATCCACTTCAGGCAAATAAGCTCAAAGCATATAAAGAGGGTTTGCTGGGGACCAGTGGATAACATGCACTCTAATGGGGAAGCGGGTCCAGGCCTAAAGAGCCTGTCAGCCAGGGCTGCGGTTGGGAAGCTGGAGCAGGAAAGCTTTGTTTTAAGAGGCCGAGTCCTGCTGAAAGTGTGCTGCTCAATCGCTTAGTGGTTTGAGCCACATGCAGCAGCGTTGATGACCAGGCTGAACTCCCCACTCTGCAGTAAATACTGCCTGATTAAGTAAGATACTGTCAAACAGTTGCCAGTTGAGGTGGGGTGATGTGGAACATACTGTTTAAATAATGCATTTATTTGAAAATATATATTTCTTTTCCACTGGAAATTTAAAGTATAAATCTATTGTCAAAGCACCACTTGTATCTTAGCACACTAGCTTTACCACTGTGTGTGTGGGTGTGTGTCTCAGGAGAGTGTGGAGTTAGAATTTCAGAAGCAGAGGGAGCTGGAGTTGATGGAGCCCACCCTAACAGGTCAGTGCCAAAATATCTAATTTATAAAATGTTCATCTTAAAGCGAATGTAGCTAAAACTACACTAACCACAGGCCTAAATCTTCTTAACACTTGCCTCCAGTTGTTAAGTAATCTCAATGTACATATACATATGATCAATGGAAAAATATAGACAAAATTTAGGGTTCTGCTATTGTTTAAAGAGGTACTCCAGCCAAAATGTGAAATTAAACCATTACTACATCTGTTGTAATCATGCCTACTCACATCCTACAGCAGTGCCGCAATAGTCTCTAGAGTGAGATTTTCCGGGTTTAAAGCCTAGGAGAGTTCTCTTATGATGAATCTTGAAGGGAGGAACTTTTGAAAAACCACAAGCACTTTTTGCAGATATATGAAGGCAGCCTGTTTGAAATGCTAGCTGGCTAATGCAGAAGGAGACCAGTGGCTGTATTTATTAGCCTTTACATCTGTGGCTATGCAAGTGGTCAGGATTTCTTTATCACTGTTAGGGGATTCCCAGTGGTTATATTACATATTTGAGTAATGCACGCTGGGTATTGCAGTGAGAGAACATTGCACTGATGGACGAAAACATAAATAGGATATAAAATTGTACATTTTTTACTAAAGTAAATTACATGAAAACAATATAATAAATGCTAGCTTTAGGCTGGAACGGCCCTTTAACTCAGTGAGACTTTAAGTGCAACACGCTTTTGTCAAAATTCAGACACCGAATGTGTCTTGGCCAATTGACTGCATTCGATGTGAGTAGACAGTTTTGTCAATTAGATTTTTTTCCAGACTATTTCATTAAGAAAGGCTCATGCATCATATCATCATTTAATTCAGTCTAGTTCAGTGTAATGAGTTTAATGACAGTATATATATGGATATGACTTCATTAGTCTGCTCATTTGACTGGCTTCACTGCATTCTCTAGTTTTTCCACCTATAAACTTCACACCATCCGTAGCTATTAGCACCAGCTTATTAAAAGCTCTTAACCACATCCAGATGTGCTGCTGGATGACCTGCTGAAATGTGTTTCACTACCATCTAGTGGCTCTAAGCTGAATTTATGGTTTTCACCATTCACACTACCAGAGATCAAACAGTGCCATGTAACACCACTGCACAAATTTGCATTAATAGCTTATTCAGCACAGGCCTAAAATGAGAGAGTTTGATATTTGGTTTGCTTTCTGAAGTATGAAAAACATTTCCTGAATGAAGTTTCTGAGCCCTTGAGCTGTTATCAGTCAATGTGTCCTGCCTCAAAAGCATTCCTATCTCTGTATTCCACAACGGTGACATTTTTAAATCTCTGGCAGCCTCACTCAATTCAAGCCTCTTTTGTACTGAGGCAGCACTAAACAGACTGCTGCCATCTTCCCCACTGCTGCTCTCTGCTTAAGAGCTGCCAAATTACAAGCCTGCCAAGCAGCCAAGCCAATCTCCCTCTAGCAGAGTAATAAAACAGAATTCCCCTCTTAAAATGGGATTTTTTTTCTTTTACTAGAGATTGGAAGTGGGTTGTGATTGATGGGGGGCTTCCAGGGTTTCTGAGACAGAGACCAAAATTTTGGCAGCTCTAATGCCCGTTTCCCTGCAGAGCTAAAAGAGGAACGCCGCATTATCCAGAGAGACCTGCATGTCCAGAATTTGATGAGTGAAACCTCAGATAAGCTGAAGCCAGGCAGCTCTCCAGTCCCCAGCAGGTAGGACTGCATGCCTTTCCTTACAGCTTTTCTTCATTTTACACTTTGGACCCACCAATAACAGATAGTCATTACTTTAAAATAAAACAGCTTTATCTTTCTCACATGACTGAATATATCAATGTTTCATTTTGGATTTTGACTGATAAAAGTCAGTCTAACTCAGTGCAAGTCAGAACAAACAATATGACACAATATCTATACAAACATCTATACAAAACCCATATACCACACATGACAATGTTTTGGTCTGATGTTATTGTCTTCTGCACTCAGTCATGTTTTTTTCACTGAGGTCTTAGTCTGCACTCAGGTTCTGGTGTAAATAAATTAATTATGTTTGTTGTTTTGCTACTGTAGCATTCACATTTCTAGTAAAGTACATCTACCTGTCTAGCAGGGCTATACAATATGGACTAAATATTGGTATTGCAGTTTTACTGCTATATAATGCAATTGTGATATGCTTTGCAATATTTTAAAAACAAAAGTGTTGAAACAATCATGTTGAAGATTAGCCAGCATTATTTTGACCAAAATAATTTACTTTTGTTAAAATATGTAAGTACGTTGACCCATTAAGATACCCACACACATATCTAGAACTGTGATTGGTCAACATGTTCACAACACACAGAACAATCGTGGTGGTTGGTTAGAAGGATCATTTGCATATTGCAGCCTTCTGAGATATCAGTAATGCCAAGCATATTGTGCAGCTCTATCCATCTCAGCTAACACACCTATTGTGACTTTTTCAGGGAAATAAGATTGACTGACTTTCCTGCAAGTGACTCAGAGATGGAGAATCCATCAACCTCCCCAGTGCTGCCCAGGATGAGTTGTCTTTATCCCAATCCCTCTCCTCCACACTTTAGCAGGCCTGTTCATCCAGACAAGGCCAGGCACAGACTGTCCCATAAGGTTACTCAGCCTCTACCCACGGCTCCAGCAAGCAGTGAGCCTCAAATACTGGACTCAGATCACTCACACACCAACCTGAGCTGCTTGACATCCACAATCTTGTCCATAGAGGGGCCGCCGCTGACACAGAGTAGCTCTACTTCTTCCGCGACTCTGTTGAGGCCTTCCAGCTGCAGCAGCAAGCCCAGAGAGGAAGCACATGCGGGGCCTCCCGTGAGAGTCGCAGCATCCAGACTGAGCCCAGCTGCAAGCCTTGTCCACGGACAGCAGTGTGGGTCCTCTGTTTGCTCCAAACAGCTGGGCCTGGGGGCAGAGGCAGCCAGAGCCAGGACCCTGCTGCCCACTCCACCCACAGTGCAGAAAGTAGCCAGCAGGGGGCAGCGAGCAAGCAGACGCCTAGCTCTCCCTCAAGCTGGAAGCCTGCTCAGCCCCTCCTGAACAAAGGGCTGCTAACCCCAGCTCTGCAGAGAGGATTTTCCCTCTTCTAACACTCTGAATTCAACTCATGAAGGCCTTGCTAATCGGCTGAGTTCAGGTGTGTAAAATAAGCGAGCTAAAATGTTTAACTCTGCACTGCAGAGGACCACCAGGACTGGAGTCCGACAACCCATTATAGACGCATGATTTACAGCGGTGCAGGGCAGAGATATTCAAATCTGGAATTTGAATCAAAATCTAGTCCTGGATAAAGTAAAGATACAGTTGGATAAAATAATAGCCCTCAAATAACACCATTTGGGATTCAGTTGTTATATGTTTGTTCAGCCACTTTGTCATCAGACTTAAGCAGGTAAATGGAGGGTGGAGGCTCTTACCACTCCTGTGATTTTAATACTACTGTATGGCATGTTAATAATGTTGTAGGTGCTTTTGTCGTCAGTGGTTACAGCTTTAAGTGCTGCCTCTTAAAAAGGAGCACTAACCTAACTTGCCTTTTTTCAGTTTATGACCACTTGTTAGCAGTTTAGTCCAAAATTATCCATGTAAGACACCATTTTTTTTGGAATCACAGGTGATTACCAGTGCAGCTCCTGTAGCACCTCTGCCCTGCATATGTTGATGTTTTTACCTAATCCAACTCATCAGCTAATTAAGAAGCCCTTCCTGAATTGAAAAGGATGTTAGAGCAGGGAAATATTCAGATATGCAGGGAAGGACTATTCCAGGACCAGGATCAGAAACCTCCATTGTAGTGATTTTGAAATTGTATAATGGAATCACATTACTAGCCACAAAATTCCACAAGGAAAGACATGCAATGACAGGTGATCTTTAAAATAAACTTTATTTTTTTACCATTTGAAATTGAACAGTTTAAGATATACAGCTGACATGACTTAAGACAATTTTTCAATGCAATTTGGCCCTAAAGTTCCAAAGACATGGTTAGATATGTTTGATAGAAAGTACTGAGTTCATTTCGTTGTGCTTCACTCTCCCTGACCTCACATTCTTTTTTTCTTTTTTTTTTTTTTAACACATGAGCACAAATACTCATACAGTAGTGGACACTGACCTTTTGCCAAAGCATGAACCCTTCATTTTATTGCGGAACTCGAACAAGAGAGGAGGCAGTAATACCTGTTGCTTTTAAACATCATAAAAAGTGACACCATAAAGTGCTGCCATAACACAAAAATGCATGGTGCTTCATTCAGAAATGAAATTCTCCTAAAGAATGCAGAGAACCAGAGAGAAATTCACAGTTTTAGTTAAGCTTTACTGTCACTGTCCAAAAGGTGCATTTCTAGTTGACGAACCCACAAAAAATATGTTCAGCTAATTGTCAAGGAGAATGAAAATGATTGTGTGTGATGTGTGCATGAGGAAAATATGGATAATCAAGAAGCACTTTTTAATAATATGTCAGTATCTCCGCTCAGTTGCTTTTTCAGGGCCAACAATGAAACTTTTAGGGTCATTTCAACTTAATCAGCAATAAACAATCCAATTTTAAGAGGTTATGGATAAACCTTCATTACTATGAATAATTTGAGATCTAGAAGTTATTTAGGAGCAAAGTCCACTCATCCCCTTAAAATTCTGTGGACTCTTTGGGTGTTTACAGAAACATCTCGCTTTCTGTTCTAACACTAGACTGTTATAACACTAATAGGTAATTTTTCTTTAATAGATTAAACACTACAAATAACTGGGGTTTACTTGGACATTAGTTTGCTGAAGCCAACCTTTTCAAAATATACGAATTTTCCTTCACGACTTTAAACATGCTTGCAGAACAATGGACACATAAACATGATTTTCAAGATAAAACGATTCAAATTTCATTGCAATGTGTGCTGTCAGTGTTCAGGTTGGACCAGGATGAGTGGAGTTATAGAGATGTTATATATTTTCCCCAAAGGAAACTGCAGCATGCTACGTAGAACTGCATTCAAATGGCATTTACATTACTGTGGTAGAGGTATAACACTGCTTCATACTGTGTAACAAATGTGGAACAGGTGATCGTCCTTTTTCGTCAACAGTAAGTGTGCCTGCAGCGAGCAGACACGCTGTGAAAAGCATTCCTTTGTATTTCAAGTTTCAATCCATAGTGTTAGTTTGGCAAAACTTTTTGATAATGGCTGGCTTGAGGAGCTCAAGAAAGAAAAACGTAGTGTCACTGCATACACATAGAAAAAAAAGATAAAATCTGAAGATAAAATACAGTTTTTAGTACTATAAAAATAAACCGAAAACAAAATCTCTTACAAAGGTTGATTCTTTGTGTTAAATGACGACATGGATAGTTACATATTGATTAAAAAGACATGACATCAATACTGAGCACTATCCTAAACTAAGCATAGACTCAACAGTAGGATATCCACTACACAGAACACATTATACACAGAAAACACCAGCTATAACACTAGAATAAAGTAAAAACAAACCCAAAATACACAAAAACGTTTTCCCCAACCTACGATACGGAAACTCCCACCCACCCCGATCCAATAAGACCATAAAAACACACATACACACCAGTCCAATTATTAATTATTATTATTTTTTTTACATTACTGTACAATACAGTGATGGAGAGGGGGACAGTGCAGGACCAGGTTGCAAATGCACAGTACTGATTCTCAACTCTACTACTGCAGGCTAGAAGATTGCAAGTCAAAGATTAAGTTTAGGGGAGAAGAAAAGGGAGGAGTGTACCTCCTTGCAGAACCCAGAGGCAGATGGTATGAGCCTCGCAATTTGTGTGCCACGATCGACGTCTGAAAGTCAGACAGTGATGTCATCGTGGATCAACCTTTTGTACTCATATGAGACAAAACTACACATCAAAGTCAAAAATTTGGCCACATAACCAACCATGTGTTATAGAATCTTGCATTTTGTTTTACAGAATTTTAGACATTTGCTTACTCGTTAAATTATTTCAAAAACCAGTTATAAGATTGTTGGGAAAATGCTGAACTATAATTATTACATCATCCTGATTTCTATGTGTCCTGTGTGCGCGTCATTAAAAGTTAATGTGTTAAATGTCTGACCTTGTTAAAGTGTTTGAGGTAGGGTAGCCCAATTTGGCAAAGGTCCAATATTTCTGACAGTAGTAATATCCATATTTGCCACTTCATAGTATTGACCCCTAAAATGTGAAAAAAAAAGATCCTTCTATGGGTAGGTGTCCAAACTTTTGACTTGTAGTGTGCATACTAGAACATACCACAGTGAAGTGGTTGAAAGTGCTACTGACGTCTAGTTGTGCTAGGACCAATAAAGACTGCAACAAACACGGTGCTGCTCTGTGTTTTTTTTTTCACCATCCTGGTTCGACACCACATGTAGAGTAAAGTCAAGCTTGCCTCTGTTAGAGTTCTACCAGGTATACTTGTGCTTTTTTCCTTTCTTGACATCACAAATACCAAGGCTATGCCCCTGAGTGACTGACACCTTCTGCTACACTGCAAGCTTTCTTTTTATTGTGGATCTTTTTGTTGCTTTTTTAATAGTTAGATCATTTCTTGTTTTTGTACTTGAACAGGATGCAGTTTGTGAAAAAAAAAGTGATTATTAATTATTAAACAAATGACAACTACTAAGGAAGCTGACTGGCTGTAATACAGTCAGGTACTAGAAGAGCAAATATATACTGTGAAAAGAGATAAAAAGTGAAAAAGGAAGACAAACCCAAGAGACTTATCAATACGTGACACATAAGCACTTTTAGCAGCTGCATTGCTAGATCACCCCCTTCCTTCAGTGGTGTCTGGCAAAATCCCTAACATATTCACAGTGTTACCAGGACATCATATCCATGCTTTTGTGCCACTGCGAGCCTATATGTCATAAGAGAGGGGACTCGTTGGCTCGTCACTGGAACCGGCCATAATGACCATAGCCAGACACAAAAGCCTTCAGGGAACAATCTGGGCAAAATCAAAAGCATCCAGCCCAAGCTCTCCCCTCTCTCGCCAGAGCAAAGATAAAATGGAAAAAAATCAAGTCATGGATGAGGAATGGTAAACATTAAAATGATTATTCATGATATTCTAGCTTCTTCTTTACAAAATAAACAAGACTATTTACTGTTACTATACAACAGTGAAAGAGAAGAGTAAGTAAAGATGATTCTATCCTATGAATTATACCAACAGCATAATTCAGTGAGTTCAGTAAGGATGACAGTTTACCTCTCTCCTCGGCAACTTTACTGTACTTCTTGTTCAACTGCTTGGCTCAGCGCTTTAGTACAAGCGCAGATTTTTCAGTGTGATTAGGACAAACAAACAAAAATAAAAAAACAAACACTAAAAAATACACACTCCAGCAGCACCCCTTGGATTTAGAGGGTATGTGCATGCCACTTCTCTCCTTTTCCCAGGGGAGTCTGTGTGTGTGCGCTACAGTACTGAGGCTATGATGGCAATGCCGCTGCCCTACAAGCGCAGCTTCACTAGCTGCTCCTGTCATCGCTATAATGCTCCTTTCACAGGCGAGATGCATTTTAGGGTCAAAATGACTGGAAGACTAGTCAAAGTTTGTGTGCTTCATATAGATCACTCCTTACACCAAAATACTCTATCCTCTCATAGGTAAATAAAAAAATTCAGATGTTATCCCAAACTCAATGATCGCTAGTTGTTGAGAAAGGTTTCAGGGTGGGGGAGGGGGGGGTTGAAGCAAATTGTGTGCAACCCTGAGGATGGGCTTGGAAAGTAAATGTGCTTGAAATGTGACTTTTTTCCAATAGCTGTTCTAAAAGCTGAAGGCAAAATATTCTTTGTGCCGTTTGTGTTCATGTAAGAATAATGTAAACTGTGGGTACAGTGGTGTAATATTCCAGTCTGTTAAGAAAGGAAAGTTGGAACTATTCGTAAACACCAATGCAACCACAGGGCACGGTGGTGGAACACTCCAGACATGGCAGTGGGAAAAAATAAGAAGAAAAAAAAGAAAAGACTTCATGGTTTCAGGAAATGTGTATGTTAGGGGTGTGTTTACTACAGACAAAGAATATTTGGTCTTCAGCTTTTAACCTGACTGGCACCATCACCGCTGTATACACAAGAAGCCAAAACCTACTGCAGCTGCTGCAGCAGTAGAAGTACCGTTTCCAGATAAATCTACACAGAAGGTAAAAGAATAACATATCCCAAAATGTACTAAGCACAGTGGGTTTGCCTAAAATGCTTTCTGCATTTGAACATAAAAAAGGTAGTATTAAATTAAAAAGAAAAAAAAAAGGTTTTGGATGACAACCGATTTCTCTAGAGGTTAGAAATAATAAAGCCCTTACAATATGTAAAGGTCTCCAGCGAGTGTGGCCTGGCCCTTGGGCTGCAGCATGGGGGGAATGGGACGCGGCGCCAGTTGGGGCAGACCGTCTCTATGCGCTGGGCGTGGGGTTCAGTGTGGAGCCGTTGCTACCCTGGATGGTCAGACTGATGTCGTCCTTCTTCTCTTTCTCTGGCTCCTTCTCCTTCTCGGGCTCCTTTTCCTTCAGCTCGTCTTTTAGGGGGCGCACTTCCACACTCTCGGGCCCCCCTGTGGCATACCGGCCCTTGCGGTGCTCCTGCAGTGCTGGGCCCCAACTTGCATCTGGCTTTACCGAGTGCTTCAACCTCTGCAGCAGAGCAGAGAAATAGAAATTAGTTTGAGATAATTAAATCAGCATAATGTTAAATGCTTATCGTGCTGTCGAAGCAGGTATAATTCTTCCGAAAAAGACAAAGCTATCTCGAGTAACTCTGGATAAGAGCGCCTGCTAAATGCTGTAAAAGTAAATCACTGGCACACTGGTGCAGATAAGCAATGTAAGACTTTCAACAATCTTTTTTTTTTTCCTTCAAACACCATGTCAAACTTGACCCAAACAGTAACTTTGTACTTGCTTACGAAACTACTAAATTAAAAATGGGGGTGTGTAAAACCAACACTGCACAGGATTTCATGAAGCCACCTACTGGAAAATAAAGTTGAAGGGCATTGCAAGTATGAAGGAAATGGTGGGGCTATTTAGCTGGTCCCAGTGAAAATAACTATATAGACTTGACAGTTTTTCTTTTGGCTACACTAGTACAGTTATAGGCATAACCCTTAATTAATACAGAACTTTCATATGGAGGCTGATAAATTTTAAAAAGGTTTTTTAGACATTTCATTTTCAGAAATGTTCCACTGAAAGTTTCTTCAGGGAATGATAGGTTCCTGTATAGTATTACTCTAAAGAAACCTTTTTGACTTCTGTGCACTGAGTTTAAGTTTAAAGTTGAGTTAGTTGTAGGCATAGTTATATTTTTCCAGTAGTACAGAAGTGTATGGAAATACTCCACAAAAATAATAAGGCAAATCACTGTGCATGTGTCTTTGTGTCTATGGTGGAAAATAATTGTGTAATTGTACTTCATTACTATATTTAAATTGAAGGGCACTGCAAGGACAGTGACCTGAGTTTGAACCGAATATAAGTAAGGTTAATGTGCTAAAAGAAATTCCTAGATTTAGGGAATTGCATGGCAAGACACAGTCTTCTCTAGTACAACTTCGGTTGACTAACTTATTTAATTAACCATTACCCTTGACTTCAAGCATGATATCTCACCTCTAAGAACGTGGCTCCTTCAGATGTGGCAATTTTGAAGAGAGCGTAGATGGGTATGCAGATCACTGAGGAAAGTGCCATGCAGAAGCCAATGACCAGAGACCAGTTTGGGTACACATAGTCATTGTAAGTGATGGGCTTGTACTGGATCACTGTGAAGATGAGGATGAACTAAAGACAGAGAAACAGAGGAGGAGGAGAACTATAAATAAAGCCTGGTTTACAAACACTCATAGTACATACATTAGAGCTCAAGGCCTGCATCAAAACCAGACCTTGTTATGACATTAGTTTCACATTACCTGTTTGGATTTAGACTTATATCAGTGTTTCTTAATCCTAGCCCTTGATTATCACTTCCCTAGTTCAGTATTTCCAGTGTTAAATGGCGGTAACACTTGGAGCTATTTAGCTTGCCTGTAGCCAATGTGGTGTTTGCGATTACTCTGATTATGGCTCCCAGTCTTGCACTGTGTATTTTTAGAAAATGCACTGTTGAGGAATCAAGGCAAGGGGCTTGTTAACCCCTTAATCACTAAGGACCTGTCAGTGGGCTGGACGTTTTTCATCAACTTATTAATAAGCCTGCAGTTTTTGAGCTAAAGTAGTTGAATAATTGCTTCCAAGTATCATTTTCAATCTCTCTTTCAGAGTGCAAAGAAAAGCTCATACCTTTAGTGCTTTACTGAAAAGGCATCTTCTCTCAGTAACCCCATTCTGATGTGCCACTTACCGTGATGATGAGGGGAGAGATGAACCTCCAGCAGATTCTGAAGAAGACTGGAGGAGGGAAGCCCAGCATCATCTCCACATCCTTAAAGTAGTTCCTGTGGCCTGTGAATGGAGCAAACAGAAGTACAGTTATAGCTCTAGCCTCACTTCTTACTTTATAGACAAGAAATACATTCAGCTCAAGAAAGGGAAAGATGTGATGGACTTACCATAAACATACATGATGCAAATACACATGATACAGGAAATGATGACCAATGAGAAGCTGGCAGCATAGTTATCCATCAGCAGAAGCCAGTATATTCCTGCCTGCAACCACAAGAGGGCCACAATTTAGGAGTCACTGCGTATGTCAGAGTTTGAGTGTATTTAACTCTTTGTTTGAACCAAATGTCCACTAGATGATCCAAACATACAAATGCTTAAAGCTACTGCTTTAAATTAAAATACAGCGATTGGGAGATCTCTCTGGTGGAAATGTGTAATTGCACACAATGTGCAGAAGAACAATTAGTAACGTCAGTTGTGCTTTGACCCCCGAGTGGATGAATCTGATGTTTTTGATGCTAATTATGTGACTTATGTGAGGACCAGCACCTCAGATTAGTCACCACACCACACATGCCACCAAACAAGGAAAGCTTTCTTTACATTACTTCTCTTAACATGTTTTTATACTTTTTCCACTCTGGTTTCTGTGCATATGTGTAGTGCTCACCTGCGTGGTCAGCGGCACTCCCAAGAGAAACCCAATGACGGCGACTCCAAGAGTGATGATGGTTTTGTTTCTGATAATCCAGTCTGTCCCAATCTCGTCCACTATAGCAGTAACCAGAGTCTCCAACAGACAGAACTGGACATCCAGAAACATGAACAGTTAAGAACGGTGATGCTGTGCAGTGGTGAAGCTGAGTTTTCTACAGGTTGAGGTAGGATGAGTTACCTGTGTGCCCAAGCCCAGCAGGATAAGCATGAAGAAGAAGAGCAGGGACCAGAGCGGAGAGATTGGCAGCAGTGTTAGGGCTTCTGGGTAAGCCACAAAGGCCAGGCCCGGCCCGTGGTCTGCCACCTGTGACACGTCCACTCCCAAGTGGTGTGCCATAAAGCCCAAAATGGAGAAGATAACAAAGCCAGCGTAGACACTGGTGGCACAGTTCGTCACACTGATGATGATGCTGTCTCTGTTTGGCCACAGAAGGAAAAAATAAGAAGAAACGTCTGACTGTCAGATTGTACATCAGTGCCAATTAAGGTAACCTTTTGCATAAGACTCTCAAATCTAAAAAAGAATCTCATATCTAGAAAGATGAATATTTTAGATTATGCTTCTTAATCATATCTTAAACCCATAAGCCAGGGGTCACCAATCTTATCATCTTATGTGCATAGGGCTGGTGTGGCTGCAGGTATTAAGTCCAGCTAAGCAGGAGTACACCTCATATAACTAATCAGTTGTGTATAGACTGAGATTAACTGTTTAAACAAGTGGAAGCAGATGTCCTTCTGCTTGACTAGAATAAAAACCTGCAGCTACGTCAGTCGTTTATGGATAAGATTTGTGACCTCAGCCATAAACCTTCTCCTCTTGTCCATTTCACCTGAACCTGTACAGCAGACCTTGTACAGGGTTCTTCACTTCTAGCCCTGGTGGGCCCCTGTCCAGCACACTTTGATGATTTGCCTGCTCAGACACTCTTGCCTTATGTTAATTGCTAGGTTTTTGAGGTGTGTTTGACCAGGGAAATCACCAAACTGTGACAGAGACCTGCCCTCCAGGACTGGAACTAAATAAGCTTTCTGTGCAGTATTTCATATACACTCTGCATTCTGTTTTCTGTCTTTGCGTGAGTACTTGTCAGAACATACACCTGGTATTTGAAAACAAACAATTTTGATTTTGATCGGCATAGAAGTGCAATAAGAAAAAACAGCCACAAGAGGGCAGTAAAGATACCTCCCTTTGGAGTCTGTGAGCATTGCAGTCACAACGTTAAGGTCAGAATACTGCTTCTCATGTTTCCTTGTGTCTCACCCCTCAGTGCACATCACCTGAGGCTTCTCCCTAGCATGCATGTCACTCTCACATCTACTCAGCGCAGGCCATCTTTCATATCCCATTTAAAATCTAATACATCTATGGCTACTGTATTTTAGCTTATGCTGTAGAAAATGCATATGCTGAAAGCTGCGTAATCTGCACGTCTTCTTTTCCTCTTTAGTTGAATATCACCACAGGACTAGCTAACCCAGCTTTTCATTATACTGTACACCTACGTATTCATAAGTATAATGGCAAGATATTTAAGTTGAACAGAACTGAATTTATCTGTACAGTTTGAACAGTGTGTTTAGTACCTGAAGCAGTTGTTATGGAATTTGTTATAGGATGCCATGGTGATGAGACCACCCCAGGCACAACCCAGGGAGTAGAAAATCTGAGAGGCAGCATCACCCCACACCTATAAAACACAAACACACACACACACACACACACACACACACACACACATTCAGTATATGCCAGTGTAGGTTAACAACCATGTTTTAGCACAAACCCACTAGGGCTTTACAGAGTTTCTAATGAACTTTATGACAAATCATTACAAACTGGTGTACTGACCTTGGCATCCAGAATTTTTTGCCACTGTGGGGTGAGATAGTATTTAATTCCGCTGATGGCACCCTCCAGCGTGATTCCTCTGATGAAGAGAATGGTCAGCACCACATAGGGGAAGGTCGCTGTGAAGTACACCACCTAATAGCATCCAAACAAAAAAGGAAAAGAAAATATGAAACACAAAAATGCAGCATGGTTTCTATTCCCTAGTTTACCATTTACTGCACACTGAAAGTCCCACACCCCCAATTAAATCGAATGAAATGCCTCAGTGGCAAAAAAACTGTGTTCAAATACATCCTTTCCATCAAACTACTAATCTATGTTTAAAACACATTACTCCACTCAAGGCTAGGTCCAGTATGACACACTATGTATAATGTACTCTATAGAAAAAGCCACTGGCACTGAGAGCTCCTAAAAGTCAAACAGGGAGTTATTTTAGATTTAGCCAAAGGCTTGCAATGGCATAAAGTTCCTGGACAAAAAGAGAGCATCCAGCTTACCTTGCCTGAAGACTTCACCCCACGAATGAGGCAGAGGAAAACCACCACCCAGGAGACCGCCAGACAGCCCAGGATGGGTAGACGCACCTCACCAAAGTTCCCTATGCCATCTGAGATGTTCAATACGTAGTTCCTGAAAGAACAGGACTGCTGAGTAATGAGTAGAGATACCATCGATGCAGTAATAGATACTGGCACCAGGATGATATCAATGGGGAGGAAAACCATTTTCGTACTCTGAGCATCATATCATCACCATATATGAATGTTTTATAAAACATTTCTTTTCATAGCTTAGAATTTTTTATAGAAAAAAATATTGGATTGGTGTTGGCAAATACCAAGGTTTTAGTGTTACTATCAGTATTGGAAAAGAAAAAGTGGAAGAGATATTGTGCAATCTATAATAATAAGTGAGAGAAGCAATTCTCCCATTGCTGAATACTACAATACTACTACAAATACACTTAATTTTATTTACATAGCATACAACAAAAAGATGCATATTACGACAGAGTGGCCAATTTTTCTCATCTTATCTGAGTGCTTGCCGATTTGCCGTCTATTTTCATCTAACTCAGCAACTCACCTTATCACGTTAAGTGGCATGTTTGGGCTGCCCATGACACAGCCCAGACAAAAACAATCCAATATTTTAAGACCACGGTCCAATCAAAACAACTTCTCCCCTCACAATGAACTGCTTGACAGATGGAAGGCAGTGACAGAAAGGCTTTTCATGGTACAGTGACAATCACAACCCGAAGAGCTAGGCACAAACCATTTATAAAGTCATTCAAACAAGCACACACACCCCTCGCTGTCAAAGCCTTCCATTCTCCAAGCGCTGGCAGAGAAACTCTGCATTCAGAAGGACCTTATGCACACACACACTCACACACACACAAACAATCACAAACATTACCTCCTATTGTCTCCAGAAAACATCAGCCTCATACTAAACCCTCCCAGCTCAAGGCAGGGCTAATAAAACGAAGGACTAAAAATATCCCCACAAGCACGTCTGTCAAGTTTAATTTCACACAGACCCTCATAGCATGAAAGAAAATGTCTGGTTCCAGTAACAATAATTTAAAAAACTAAAAAGACCCAAAGTGGTTTAGCATTTTTATTATATCAGGTTTATTACATTTTAAGTACAGTCTATGTTTCATTGTTCTGAGCATTAAGTTCATGCTTACGTAACTGTACTTTATGTTATAGGCTAAGTCCTTCCTGCATTTTTCATTTAGACTTCTATGAGACTGGTCCCCGCAGACCGTACGTAAACATCTCTGTCATCTGAATCATAAAACAGCCTTATTAGTTCCTGTGGTCCACGATTAAAAGTAAAGTCATAAAACTACACAGAAAACCATACCAGCCGCCTGGTACATTCATTAGCGAGCGTGAGGGTTTGTCCAGTAAAGCCTACACAAATAATTTCTTGTATTACTCAAGAGGACAGATCTAACAACCAGAATATAATAAACCAACAGCAGGACTAAAAACAAATTGAAACAATTAGTCAGCAAGCCTGACAAAATCAATTGTGACAAAATATAGTTTTTGTTGGTGCTCTATAATGCTCTGTAATGTTCATACAATTGACCTGATCATTCAAACAGAATGCAACAGATTACAGGAAGTGTAAGGGCGATATGACTTTTATTCATTCACTGCACCTACTGATACAGAATCATTAGAACTGTTCGAGCAAAATTAATCATCTGTTACAATTTGATTCAAAGTGTTCAGTGATCAGCTTCAGATCGGTTGAAAGCAAAATCTCTCTCATCCATAAACAGGTTTTTTTTAACGCTTTTATTAACAAAAACCTGAAAATTCTCAGATTTAAAGCATCAAAGGAGCAATATGTCTTGCCTGTCTCCAGCAGGGGAAAGTAGCACCAGGGTTAATGCTTGTTTTGCTTCTATTTATGTCACATCTTTGCTTTACTAACGAATGATCCTTGCCACAAACAGGTGTGCTGTTTCATTCTCTCATGTTGGACTGATGGCTGACTTGAGGTTACATTGACTCACTATCACCTCTTGAGGTACAACGTATTATTACAAGACAGAATGGACCAGGGTTAACTGGTTAGCATTTCAAACTGTTTCAATACTTCTGTTTCGAACACAAGAATTCCAAAAGTGAAACGCTTGAAACTGTCTCACTTGTTTCTACCAACCCTAAGTGGACTGCTTGTCACACAGAAAGAATTGAATGATGGTGGCAAAAGGGAGGAAAGAATAGCAGGGAGGCAGCAGGGAGGGAAGAAAACTGAAGAAGGCCTAATGGTTAGATTAGTTAATTAATTGAATAATAGTGCAGGGGTCAAACAGTTATAAAAGTGTTCGTCAGTCACAGCCCTCATATATAGTCTTACCAAATGACTGAGGCAACCAGGCACACAAAGGATGCTAGGTTCTGTGTCACTGTGAAATGTGAATAAACAAGTACCAAAAAAACTGTGATTAACAGAAAAAGATTTGCCATGTTACACTAACCTCCAGTATTCCTCACTGGGACTCGTCCTTTTAGTGCGGTTGACCATCTCAGTCACCCCAGACATTACAGTTGTGATGTTAGCAAAGGTACCATTAGCCCGATGAGTGCCTACCACCCCACTACAGTCAGGGGTGTTCCAGGGGTTGTTGCAGTACGTCCAGGGCAGGAGGTTGGTCATTGATGTGAAGAAGTAGTAGAAGGCAATGCAGATCACTACATTGTAATAGATTCCGATGTAGGTGGAAACCACCATCATTCCATAACCCACACCTAAGAGGAAGAGACGAGGACAGCAGAGGTGACAGCGTGGCACATGAGGTCAGGATGGTTAAAATACAGCTTTGGTTACAATCAAAAACATATTCACTTTAACTCTTACAAAGATATTTAGTAGTCTGCAATTATTGTGGTACTTCTATAGTGAGATGGTGTTACCCTGCCCCGTATGTTATGTATACAGGGCAAGGTAATCTTGTAGTATGTATCTTGAACAAAACGTACAGTGCATGTGTATACATGCACTTAAGCATTTTTAAACATCTACCAAGTTACATCATATGTAAATATTTAGTTGCAATCAGTCACACATTTGTAAAGTCAGTGTTTAAATCTTTTTTTGTTAGTTTTGTAGACTATATAGCTTCTCCTAATATATTTATGTAAAATGTTTTGGTGGTGCTGCATCTCTGTAACAGATTTCCCTCACAATCAATACAAATCTGTTTTATTTTCTTCCTTTCTTTCTTTCCATCAATCTTTCCATCTATCTCTCTATATCTATAACCCAAGATTAGAAAAAAGTTGGGATTGTATGTTAAATTAAAATTGAGACTGACAACAGTGCTCTGCAAATTATTTTTGACCTGTTTACACTGAAAGCAATACAACAGCACATTATTTGATGTTATACCTTATAAATTTTATTGTTTTTTTCAAAATATGCACATTTCAATTTTGATTACCACTTTGTAATGCTGCCATTTCTTTTCACAACACTTAAAAGACACCAAGTGATGAAGCGTTTCAGGTGTAATTTTGTCCCACTCTTTGAGAAGAGTGTTAATGCATGCTGAAAAAACTCCAAATGGGTGGACCACAGCTCCAAATGGGAGGGGCGTAACTCAGAGTACTTTGTTATTGGTTGTTGAGAAGTGCAGCAGGTTTTCTGAGACGTTGGGTTTAGTCTTCTGCTGGCTGGTTTTAAAACAGAATTATGTTATGTGCATTAAATACAGGGGCAGATTGTGATGTCCATTAGTTTTTTTTAAATAATCTTAAATGTAGAGTAGTTAAATGGGCTAGATCAGAATTTGAGCCACAGTGTATGTAACTGATTCCTCTTACGATTTCATGTTAACTGTCTAAAAGTTAGGTGGATATGAAATGACTTATTCTGCTCTTCTTTTGCTCTTTTATACCAAACCTAAAGGTGATCTACACAGATTCACATTTTTTCAGATACATGTGAGGTACAAATGAATTATTTATTGATAGGGGTCTGAGCTGCCAGTTTTTTGGGCCAATGAACATCAGCAGTGCTGAAATTTGTATATATTTTCATGCATTCATTAAAAATTTTCGTATTATTTCATTAAATTAATCATTTAGCCTCAGTCAACAAAGGGGCTTACAAGTTTATAAATTTTATTTTGGCTTCATGTCGCACTACCTCTCACCAAGATGTGTTTTTAATTTTGTTGGTTGTAACTTCACATTAAAGATGGAAAAGATCAGACATGACTCATTTTTACATCAGAAAAAATACTGCTTTTTGAATGATTATATTTTATATTTGATGTATATAATTTATTATTTACATTTGCTTAATTATTTATCATTTATAATTGTTTATATTGTGATGCCCAGGCACGTCTGGGTTTAGCTTTTGTTTAGTTATTGTGTTCTGTCGCTTTAATTTAGCCTTTTTGTTCTGGGGACATTTTTTTTTCAGAATAGTCAAGGCTGATTTTGAGAGCTAGCCTAGCCTGAGGACAGGGTTTTTTCTTTTTCTCTTCTGTGCTGAGTTCAATAAAGCCGAGTTATGGACCGACATTTCAACGTCTGCGAACTACTTCAGAGAACTCCCTACGCTACAACAAGGTGAACACAAAATGTCAAAAAGAGTACAAAAAGAGTACTGTACCCACTAGAGTTAAGTCATTTGTATACATTTGTTCTAGACCAATAACAAAGCATTTAGGAGAACGAAAACCCATTTGGAGCTAAGTCCCTCCTATTTGGAGTTAGTCCAACCTGCAGGAATACATATTTGCATTCTTCCTGCAAACAAGTTTTAAGGTGTGCAACAGTACAGGATGTCGCATTTTGCGTATTAAAAAGCGCGACAATTTCTCTGTTCATTCAGGGCTGCAGGCACACGCACCCTCTTCTTCTGCAGCCATGCCTTTGTCATGTGTGCAGAATGTGCATTTGTATTGTCTTGCTTAAATATGCATGGGTGTGCCTGAGAAAGATGTCGACTTCAAGGCAGCATATGTTGCTCCAAAACCTCTACGTACTTTTCGGTATTAAAGGTGCCATCACAGAAGTGTTACCTTTGCCAGTCACCTTTTCCAAGGACACTGACCCAACCCCACAACCATGATAGACCTTGGCTTTTGGTTTTCTTTTCCTATTCGGTCAGCAGCACACATCATCTATTTCTTCCAAAAAAGACATGAAATACTGATTCATCTGACCACAATACACATTTCCACTGTGTGATGATCCGTCCCAGATGCCTCAGAGCCCAGAGAAGTTGACGGCGCTTTCTTTTGGCACACAAAAGTTTTAACTGCGATTTGTGGATGTAATTGTTTATTGTAGTGCTTGACAAAGGTTTGCCAAAATATTTCTGAGCCCATGTGAATATATCGTTTATAGACAAATGACTGTTCTTGTTGCAGTGCCGTCTGAGGGATCGGAGAGCACAGTTATTCAGCTTAGGCTTGTGCCCGTGCCCTTTACACACTGAAATTCCTCCAGATTCCTTAAATTAATTATGTTATTTCACTGAGGGTGAAATATCCAAATCATTTATCCTCACTTTCTTTGAGGAACATTGTTTTTCAACATTTCAGTTATTTTCTCACATTCACATTCTTTGGCAAACTGACGATCCTCTGCCCATCTTTGCTCCTAAAGGAATAGGCCTTTCCTGGATGCTGCTTTTGTATCAAATCATGATTACAATCACCTGTTGGCATCACCTGTTTCAATCATTACATCATTATTTAATTACTTTACTAGATTATTAGTCCTAAATTGCCCATATCCAAACTTTTTCGGGAATATGTTACAGGCCTGAATGGCAGGAATGGATGTATATTTACAAATTAAATGAAGTTGACCAGACAAGACATGAACTACCTTGTGTTCATACTATGTATACTAAGTACAAGTCAAAGTAAATTTTAGAAATCACTGCGTCTTTTTTACTTTTCCATAACATCCCAATTTTTTCTGATCTGGGGTTGTACCATGGTAGTTAATAACTGGGCAAGACACCAAGATCATAACCAATTGTGAATTATGGCTATGTGTCTGAAATGACAAGGTCAGATTCCATGTAAACCGATCATCCAAATGCAAAGGTACCTTACAATGTCACTTACCTTTGAACATGGGGCTGACCTTCCAGACACCCAGGCAGCCCAGAGAGGTGAACTGGCCAAAAGACAGCTCCAGAAAGAAGAGCGGGATACCACAGAACACCAGCATTATGAAGTATGGGAACATGAAGGCACCTGACAGACACATACACAACATTCAGTATTAGACACTGCATTTAGATTCATTCAAGAATGAAGCATCCCACAATTAGCTGTACTGCCCCTTTCATAAGAAAAACTTGTAATGGCAGGGTTTTTTTGGGTTCATATTTTTTTGAAAATCTGCTACAAAGGGTTGCACTTTGAATTCTTAAGGTTGAGTATATTTCAAGGATCATGCAAAGATTCCATTAAAAGTCGGTTATTTTGCTTTAGAGTGAACATCAGTCAGCCACCACCCACACTGAACTTTAATGGCCCCTTTAAACACAGATGATGGGCTGAAGTATCTGGAGCCCCATCTTGTTTGAATTCGGTCTAATTCAGGGCATGGCCTCTGATTAGCAGTGGTCCCACTGAGAGCATGAGCTCATGGGGAACTGGGGCATGGAGGCAGGCCACTGGAGCTGATAAAGACACAGTCATTGTTGCTGCTGGAAGCAGAGGAACGCCAGCACCAGGCTGCTCTATTTTAAGAGAGCTGGCCAAGGGACTGCCCTTTTATGGCAATACTAGCCATAAAGTATTCACAACAATGGTATTCAAACTATTAGATCCAACACTCCACACCAAGAAAAGAATAAAACACATAACAAATCGCCTCCCACTGAAATATACCACAGTACACACACAATATAGCCGAATATATTTTAATCAAAAGGCCAATACCTCACACTTTATTACTTTTTTTTTAACACCATTTTAAAAATCTGCCCTTTGTATTGCGTGAACATTGACAATATATACAACAAAGCTGTATTAGAAAAGCTGGTTTATAAATGAAGAAATAAAGACAGTATAGCATTTAGTGACCTCCTCCATTCCTGTAGCAGAGGTATGGGAACCTCCAGACATTGCCCAGTCCCACTGCATAGCCAACACTGGTCAGGACAAACTCAATCTGGTTCCCCCAGTTTCCTCTCCGGGAGTTCTCGTCCTTCTTCACTTGCTCCCCTGGAACAGCTCCATTCTGGATCACATAAACACACACACACACAAAAGAAGGTTAGAGACTCATCCACAGGGTCAACTCATTCTCATCTGACCAGGCCTGAAATACACTGAGGTTGTAATATGATCTGAAACTTCTTAAACCCTAAAACAAGATTTACACCCCAGACCAAAAGGGCACTGATAAACAGCATATTATAAATTCACACTGTCACACAAAACAGCAAACAAATTAAGTTTCTTTTTGACAAACGTCTCTGTTAGCATTAGTTTGATGAAAAATCTCCAGTATTTTGCCTTCACTCAAAATGCAATCAGCCAAGATGTGATTTGTGTCTAAACTTTGCATCTTTAGTTTTGGATTGGAGCTACAAGGCTAATGTAGCTTACAAGTATTGGAAGTACATGCCTAAATCATCACACACTTGCTTCGAACCACATCATGTTGTTGAGTAATTTGAAACAGACTTGTTAGTGAATGACATACTCTTATTTTTAAAAAAAATGAAAAAATTTACCTCTGTTGCAAAGCTAAAGTACCAGACTATTTCTTCAAAGTTTTGCTGGCAGAGTGCATAAAAGTTTGAAATTAACAGCAATAAAAAAATAAGTTAAAACTGGCTATGTGAAACCACCTGAAAAAGCTCTGAATTGCACGCGAGAGCTGTGAAAGCCATGTAAAAGAACTTGATGGAGCACGCCTGATGTGAACCAAAACCGCCGCTGTCTGCAAAACTACCATTTGGTCCTGTCGGCCTGATTTGAAGTTCACTTTCTCCATCTGTTCCCATCAGATGGTCATTTGTTTGACCTCCAGAGCGCTCTCAGGAATGGCTCAGGGAGTGTTTGTTGACCCCACCAGCGGGAGCGGAACTCACAGCAGCTTTTATGGGGTCCCATCCAAATTTTAAGCAGTACACATTTAGGAGAGAAAGAAAACTGGTCAGATTAAGTCTGCACATCAGATTAAACCATTCAGATAAAATCATTAAAATCTTGCCTAAGACGAATCAATCCCCAGGACAGTACTCAGACTTATGCAAAATGAGTTTATTGATTGCAAAGTGGAAGTGTAAGAGAGAACCATGAAAGACCTGGAAGCGAAAGCATATGAACCAGGGCTACACAAACCGTTATCTGTTAATGATATTTTATTATATTTGTATACATTATATCATAATTATAATTATTATATTACTAGAATTATTATATTATTATATTTCAACTACAGCTTGCATTAATGCTTATCCCCATTACAGTGTATATTATGGACAAATTCCCATTTAAATGTACATGTGTGAAAGGGATTTGAATTAAGAATCAAGAAAACCATTGCGTAGCATTGGCTCTTCCAATCAACTGCATCACTTTCTATCAATTGGAATCAGAACTGGAGTTGACTCTAGGATTTCTGGAACTGAACAGCCCTAGACAGCAACATGTAATTGAGACCTTTAAATATTTTTTACTGTGTGCTGTAAAAATCTTGACCAATTTTGATAAATCACTGTATTAATGTAATCCAACAAAAGTAAATCCTTTTGGTCAAAATAATGCGGAATGATTTTTAACCATTTCACGTTGCATTGATTCACTAATATATTTTTAATTGAAAGCAAGGCAAACCACAATCTAGCAATGTAATTGCAATACTAGTATTCTGTCCATTTCATGCTGCCCTAATGTAAACCATAACTTTTGAGGTGTTATATATTTCCTTTGTGTAGATTTGTGGAGAGGATGGGGCAGCCTGATGTGCCCCTTGCACATGGCCTTCCAAGTGGGGCAACACACACACACACACCATCTGAGTCTCAGCTCCATGGGCCATAGCTCCCAGCGGAGTGGCACAGACACACACAAACAGTCTGTAAAACCCTCGTGGGCATCAGCAAAATGAGCAAAAAGCAGACACTCACTCACATCTCCTGTTTCTGCTCTCTCATTTGCCTTTTGGAATGCGCCAAATATTCCTTTTCAAAACAAACACTTATCTTCTGGATCGATCATTTGCACATTTTAAAAACAACCCAATAATCTCAGCGATAGACTAAGAGACACAACATCAACAATGTTCAATAACAATCCTCCTTTAGTGGAAGAGCAGCAGGTTCAGTGCTGTTTGGTTCTCATAGAGAGTAACGTAAAGCTGTGGAGTGCGCGTAAACTTTGCAAAAGGCTGGACACCTGTGCTCAGTGGTGCTGACGGGTGTGTGTGTGAGAGAGAAAGAGAGACAGAGAGGTTGTAGGAGTCTGGAGGGGAGCACACTTGCACTGTTGAAAGGGTCTGGTTGGAGAGAAGAACAGGAAAAAGCTAAAGCAACGTCAGGCCTGCTTCACTCCTTCAAGCTGTACCACCTGAGATGGAAACCTTCACTCACCCACACACACATAAAGCAGGACTCATTTCACTGATATTTGCTTAGCAGGGCAATTGTTTGCTGTGTTCTAAGCCATTTCACTCATTTTCCATCAACAAGCCAGTGAACAAATCTCTAGAAAAGTCAAAAGGGAGTCAAAAAGTACTTTATGATCATCATCATCCCATCCATGTGTGTCCATACAGTGGAACAACAAAACATTGTTTCCAGTCCTATGTTTACAGGACCACAATGTACAAAGATTACAAACAGGACAATTAAACCATACAGTGCAGTATAGCACAAAGCACTAAACTGCAAAAAAAAAATTCAAAGCCCAGCAGTACAAAAATGTAAATAAGAGCATTGGGGAGAGATAGTAAAACATAAGAAATGTCTAAGAGCAGCTGCACAAAGCACGCTCATTACAACATAATTGTACGCAAGCAGATGAAAAGATCTGAAGATCCCACAAGGCCCTGATGCAGAGTAGCATATAAATCATAAATCAAGGAGATTTGAGTATTGAGTATAACTACATCATGGTAATTTTTATGCTAACTTGATTAAAAAAAAAATCAATTTAGCAATTTTTTTTTTATTAACTGCAAAGCTTAAGGAAAAAAACTGCATTTCACTGATGAAACAATTAGGTGTCTGGCTAAATAGCCATTGTGCCCTTCAACTATTTTGGAATAACAGATCTTTGTTGTCTCTTTAAGGCTGAGTTATTTCTGCTGTTTATCTCTTTTCCGCTAATAACATGATTTCTGAATGCTGTTGTTGCGTTTATTTGATATGTAAAGAACAATATCCAACAAAGCCAAAAAATCATAGTCTGTAATGCAAACTAAGTAAAAATCTAACATTCTGAATGAGAAAACAAAATAGTCACACTCAGCCATACTTTACCACTACTCTAAATAAGCTAACCAAGAAGGGAAGCCCTGTGCATATTTTTAGTGAAAGAAAACACAGTAGCACACAGAAAGCTCTGTAAGCTAATGAGAGCTAACATTCAAGGTAGGTCGTAGGTATAGCTAGGTACAGCCATCCACTTGCCTAAGTAGGACTTATAAATACTCCTTCCACCCCTGCTGACCCACTGGGTATAATACTACAGTTAACTACAGGAATTTGGTGATGGCCCCTTAAATTCATTAACTGCACAGATGTAAAACATAGTAAAACGTAACAGAATTGCAGAATCTGTGCTTTCTGTGCGCTACCATGTTTCTATAAAAGATTCCTTTATTGTTGAAAAATATTGTTTTGAACTAGTGTACAATCTTGTTAGGAGTGCAGTTCAGATTGGGAAGCACTATTTATTGACTAGTTTAATTAAAGAAAAATGCAGCTCATGTGTACCCTGTTTATGTTTTCCTGTTCAAGTGTTTCAAGTTTTACAGATTTTGTGACTCAAACAAAACAAAAATTTATGTTTTTTTAGATTTAGTAGATCACACTCTGTATATGTCAATTAAACAACAAGCATTAAGAAAACACACGACTACCGTAGAGGAGCAGACTAAACAGCAGAAGTGGCCACATTTTTGCACTGGCCATAAAGGGTTAAACATCAAGGTCTTCAACCCAGTCCTTGAGGACCCTCTGGCCAGTCTGTGTTTTCACTCTCATCCAGTGTCAAACACACCTGAGCCAGACTACCGAGGGCTGTGAAGGCTTGATAAAGTGGCTCAGGTGTGTTAGCAGCTGGAACATTTCGTAAATGTGCTCTAGCTGGGGGTCCTTGAGGACTACAATGAAAACCTTTATCTTACTCTTACTTTTTTTGTTGTTGCTTTTTTTGGAAAAGAAATTTTGTTTCTGAGACATACCCAAACTGTTGAATATCTATTTCTATTTCTTTTACATAATTAGTATTTTAACTGTAACAAGTCACCTTTAAAGTGTTGTTGAATACAAATAGCTGAAATAAATGTGACTCTTGAGTAATTCACAAGATTTATTTCACTTACATTTGCCTTAATTTTTGTTAACGCGGTGCTGATCTCCTGCCCAGGTGTTTTACAAAGACAGAGCAACACTGAGAGACTGAGAGAGCAAGAAAGAGAGAGAATGAGAACCAAAGACACAGAAAGAGCCCAGCTGGGCTGATTTGCCCTTTTATGTAAGTCCACACAAAAAACTCACACAAACACAAACACACACAAACAAACAGGGTCTCAGCAGGACCCACTTTAAACGATTGGCCCTTGCTCCATGTTCCCAGTGCTGCAAGCACAGCATGTGTATGTGTATAAGAGATTTGTGGAACTCCTGGAGGCCTTAGCCTTCTAGAAGAAAAACAAAAAATTGCCTCGGCACAGACAGAAAAAGATGTACAATTTTGCAGAAACAGGATAGATGAACTCAGAGTTGGGCTTTTCGATATGGACAAAATACCATTATACCAAAATACCATTATTGCAACAAAATATCATTACTGCTATGTATTATTGCTTTATATTGCAGTTGTAATATTCCATGCAATATTTTAAACACACCACTGAACCCTTGATCTGACTTGATGTGATATGGTCACATGGAGTGGTCTGTACTACTCCTGCCAAAATTATCTCTCTTCGTTGGATCACAGAAAAAGGCTTGATTTATCAAAAAAAGGATATTGCACCACATGGAAATACTCTTAATACAA